GACTCAGTGAAGATGATGTTTTACATATTCAAAATGTAAATAAATTCAATAAAACAAGGTATTAGGGAAACCCAAAATAATACAAAGAGTAATAAATGGGCCTAAGTGCATGCATTATAAATGAATAACATAAGCCAGAGAAGAGGAAGTGACTAAGATAAAAAGTAGGCCAAGTAACTTTAGAAAACAGCAGTCGACTATGTTTTACAAGACAAAATATAAAAATAACTATGTACAAAAACAGTACCCTGGTAAATTTACTTTTCACTTGGGTTATGGTTAGCAATTCTGAAACCACTTTATGTATGTATTGGGCATTAGTAATGATATCAGGATAGGAAGATGGTGTTTTGTGATGTCAAGAGACTGGCGTGAGAGGGAAAAGATGAGGCTAGTATAGTATTACCTTAAAAACTGAGCAACTGCTAAGAACACGTGCTTAGGCTTTTTTAAAAAAAAATATACAGATGGACAGGGACAGAGATAGACTTGTGTATACATACATACATTTCCTTGTTGTCCACGGAGAGGGACTGGAGGTGGTGATAGCACAGTAGGATGGGACAAAGGGAGTAGAGGCTGCTTGGAGAAATGATTGCATCCAGGCTGGGGTAGAGAAATTACCACACAAATCTGGAGCACATTATAGCATCATAAAGTAATCAATTGCCTAAAACATGCAGGAACTAGACAAAGGTAATGGTTGTACAGCATTGTGAATGCCCCCTGGAGGGTGCAAACTTCTATGAAATAATGCAACAGTCACTAAACAAGTCAGCAAATAACAAGGCCCAAGGGTAGAAGAATTCCAGTATCCAGAGTTGCTAAAATGTATTTTTCTAAAATATTCATTAGCCAATAAAACAGGATGTGCAAAGAAACAGCAAAGTATAACTCATTCATCAGATAAAAGGAGGCAACAGAAACCACCTATGAGTACAACTAGATGGCAGACTTCAGAGTATGTTCCAGAACTCAAGGAAAGCTTAAAGAAGTTAAGGAAGGGCTGGGATTGTGGCTCAGCGGTAGAGCGCTCGCCTAGCATGCACGGGGCCCTGGGTTCGATCCTCAGCACCACATAAAAATAAACGAATGGAATAAAGGTATTGTGTCCAACTACAACTAAAAAATTAAAAAAAGAAGTTAAGGAAGGCATGGCAACATTGGATTGAATACAGAATACCAATAAAGAGACAAATTTTAATAAAGAACCAAATAGAAATTCTATAGTTGCAAAATACAATAACAGAAGTTAAAAAAAAAAATTCACTAAAGGACCATGTGATGGTCAATTTTATGTGTCAACTTGACTGGGCTAAGGGATGCCCAGATAGCTGGCAAGACATTTCTGGATATGTCTATGAGGGTGTTTCTAGAAGAGATTAATATTTGAATTGGTAAGCTGAGAAAAGATGATCTCTCTCACCAATATGGATGGAAATCATCCAACATATTGAAGGTCTAAAGAGATAAAGATGGAGAAAAAGCAAACTGGGAGGTGGTAGAATCTTTAGTAGGTAGGGTCTAATGAAGGCAATTAGACCATACCCCTTAAATGAACTTTTGGGACACTCCCCCACCCCAACAACCTTTGCTTCCTGGCCACCATAATGTTAACAGTCCACCTCTGCCACACACTCCCCTGCCATAATGTATAGTAACACCTCCACAGGCCCAAGAGACCATAGACTGAACCTCTGAAACTATGAGCCAAAGTAAATCTTTCCCTCGCACAAGTTTATTTTCTTGTGTTATTGGGTCTTGGTGATAAAAAGCTATATAGATAGTATATATACAGACACATTTGGGCATACAGACCCGTGTGTATCCATATAAGGTAACACTGCTCATCCATAAGAAATGAGATGCTGATACATGCCATAAGATGGGTGAATCTTGAAAACATTATGCCGCATGAAAGAAGCCAGTCACACTATACAATTTCATTTATACCAAAGTCCAGAAGAGGGAAATCTATAGAGATGGGAGGATTAGTGGTTGCCTAGGGTAGGCAGACAAGATAATGAGAACCAGGGCAGTGACAGATACAGGGGACAGGATTTCTTTTTTGAGGTGATGAAAATGCTCTAAAATTGACTGTGGTCATGGATGTAGACATCTGTTAGCATACCAAAAAACACTGAACTTTGCACTTTAAATAAGTGTAATGTATATATGTAAATTATGTCTTAATAAAGCTGTTGAGATTTTTCTTAAATACATTTTTGCTGAATGAATCATTTACCAAATATTTACTAAACGTGCATTAACCACCAAGCACTGGTCAGATATACCAGATATAATACCAGTCCTGGTCCAGGGATCTATGACTACTTAATTGGTTTTGCCTGGTTTCTCGATTGTGGTCAACCAAAGCACATTAGGTACATTAGGATCCCTACCACCACCAGCAAGTGAGACATGTAATTATTCTTGTCCTACCCTCACAACGCCTACCTATAACCCTCCCAAACTAGCCATCCCACAAAATTAGAATTCTGCCTTATTTTTAAGTAGAAATCCTATGTAACCTGGTAAAACTGGTACCCTGCCCAGCTTCCTTAGCAGGATTCCTGACATCCTCATCAACCTCTGTCAATCTCATGGGTCAGTTCTTATTCTTCCAAGTGGCAAATTAAAATGGACAGTAACTGTACTGTGATTACCAACTGAATTCAAGACAGCCTAGGAATCCCATGTGCCAGGTATAGTGTCTCATGACTCCAAAGCATAACTGGTCTACCCCCCCCTTCAGAACCTGTAGTTGTATGCACAAATATTTACTAAATATATTTACTAATATATATGTACCTGCAGCTGCCTGCATCTGGTATGTCCACTGCCCCCTCCTCTGCCTGGCATGCCCTTCACATTCATCATTTACACTCTACCTCCTCTGTGAGACACCTGAAGAATTAGTAGCCTCTGTGCTCTTCTAGGTGGTAGACCAATACCTCAGAGCCTAAGCTCTGAAATCATCTACCTGAATTCAAACTTCTCCACCACTTAATGTATGACTCTGGTTAAGTACCTCAACCACTCTGCCTTGGTTTTCCCAACTACAAAAAAGACATGAAAATATTTACAGGGTTGTTATGAGGATTAAATGAGATACAAATGTTTAGAACAGGACAGGCACTGTGACTGCCTCTATCTAATTCTGTCTGATGGTACACTTGTTTTCATGCCTCTTTTGGGCCAGTCCCTGTTCAAAGACATGTCATTTCTTTTTTCTTTTCATGTTCACAGCATATAATACAGTGCTAGGCACAGGCGAGGTACAGGTAAAAGGCCCATGATAAAAAATAACAACTCTTAGTCTAAAAGCAGGCCTGCCCTGGAAAATCCAAGCTGTCTGACTGCCTGAACTATCTAGAAAGAATCCAAGGGCTCAACAGTGAAGAGTGGTTACATAAATGACAGCAAATCAACACAGGGGATTTCACCCAACCATAACAGGAGGCCTGTGCTGATCCCTCAAAGTCCGGACAAAACACTGAGCAGAAAAACAGCAGAAGAGTAGGCACAGATGATGCAGAGCTGTTCAAAGAGCCATGATCAAAGAAAACAGACTGTGTGTCTAATACTACAGAGACAGATCCTTTACATTCTTTGAATTAATTTTGATGCTACAGACAGCTTAATAAGAAACTAATAATAATGCTTCCAATGCCTTTACCTAAGAAACAAGACAAATGGCCTGGAGATTCCAAAACTTTAGAGGTTTTACATGAGACACAGGGAGAAGGGTTGAGCTTCTCTATTACTATCTCTGAACTGATAAGTTTCCTGATAAGAAAAAACCCACCTACTACTGTTACAGTCAATTCTCTTATTCAGAGGTAGACCCTTAACAGCCAGTCACTTCTTTTGTTTATGTCAAGGATTAATAATCTGATTAATCAAGATTCTTCCTGATTAATACTTCTCATTTGGTACAATTAAAAACTAAAATCTAAAAAGTCTGTATTTGTACACAAAGAGCTTTCCTTCAGCAATATTTCTCTTGTTTGCCCCCTAAGAGTCCATCCCCCCAAATAAGAGAAAGACAAACACTGGGAAAACAATACTATACTTGCTTATACATAGATCCACAGAAGTATATATGCACACACAGAGATCTATGTACAGAAACAAACATACACCAAAAAAAAACTGAGTCAAGAAACAATCTTTTCAATTTCTTCATGAGACAATACAACGATGTCAGCAATAGCATCTTCAAATAGCCCAGGTGATGATGATATTATAACTTGACTAATAAAATAAATCCCAACACCTCCATCTTTCTTGCCATCAACAGCCTTAGATTAATATGAGGAAAGGAGCCAATGAAAGGAATTTACTCCAAATATTCTCTCTTCAAAAAAGAAAAGGTAGAAATTCATTATTCCTGAATATAACAATTCCTAGCAGTGAACAGACAACTTTCCTTTAAAACACAGTTCAACAGTCTAAATAAAAAACTTTTAATATTCCAATCAGCATGTCTCCTCACCCGCTTCTTAAACGCTTTTGCCTAAGCAGCAATCCGTCCAGGCCTGTGGTTTAAATCATTAACTACACAGCACCAAATCATTAGCATAATTGGCATGTAAATTTCACGAAGGCACTGATTGTGTCCTTTTAAGTGTTCTACACAACAGCCAGTACAAGAAAGCTTATTATACATTTATGATGATTAGCTAAAAAATAAAACAAAATACCCAAACAAAAGTCTTTGTTATTCAACTTGGCTGTCATGTGTAATGTAAACCACTGATCAGTATCTGTTTCTCCAAGTGCAATTATAAGACATTGAAAACAAAACAAACCCCTTTGGAATTAGAAATTCTGTCTCCTCTGTCCAAGAATACATTGCATTTCTGTGTCAAAAGAAACTGCCAGCAGAGAACAAGCAAATGCAGGTTGCTAGGATATTTAACTTGAGCATCAGCGCACCGTTTACAAAGCAAAAAGCCCCCACATTTCACACACATATCCGCAGACATTTTCCCTACCTTTCCCATTTTGCCATGTAGTATACCAAGATAAAGTGAGGAACGACGTGATAAATGCTAAAGCAGTGGCTACAGTTCCATTTCGGAGCCTCATCTCATTTCACCATCACACTGGTTCGTATGTTTGTGATGACAACCAAGACTGTTTTCTTTTTAGCCTGAAGTCAACTGAATCCAGTACTCCTGGCTCCAGGCCAATCAAAACAATCAATGCAAGAGGTTCATTTCAGATGCTCAGGCAGAAGGTGTCTAGCAAGAATACCATTCACAATTGCTACTCAGAATTTTCTTCGCAGTCTTCATGTGCTCCTGTCTTGGGCTGTTTTCTCCCTATCAGTGGGGGAAGAGAAAGAAAACTTGTTCAATAATGCAGAGCACAGGTTTCTTCACTGATTATCCCACTCTGAATGGATTTTTGGCAGGGCTAAGCTGTCCTACCTCCCAACTACACATTTCATATACCAGAATTATGGTCTTTCCCCTCCAAGGAAAAAGTTTCAAATGATATTCCTTCTTCACTGGTTTGGTTATGTCTGTGAAAAGAAACTTCCGGTTACTTATTTACATGAAGAAGTTACAGGGCTTAGGAGACTCTAGTGATCATACAATGGCTCCTGAGTAACAATCTTGACTCTCCCCAGTTTTCCTATGGCACAGTAACAAGAAATATTTAGAAACACACACACACACACACACACACACACACACACACGTATATTTGTGAAAACTGACAAACAATATAGAAGAGTCAAAAGACCTGGGTCCTAGATCCAGGTCTGACATTACTTTCTCCAAGGTTCACCTATAAAATGAGAAAAGCACTTGTCTTTCACATATTGTCATAAATAGTAAAAAGCCTACAGTTATTATTACTGTTCATCATCATCGCAAAATAACCTCAGTCTTCCCAGTGACTAATCCAATTCCTAGGTGGTAAATTCACAATACTTAGCATTTAGAAAACACAGCAATCAAGCCCCTACCCTATCAGCCAGGGCCTATCACTTCACATTGTTTTAACTCAGGAAATTTGGGAGATCACCACCAATCTAACAAAACTGCTGAGAAAATGAAAAGAAATGAGGTCCTTACAAATACTTAAGCATAGTTCCCAGCACATAATAGGCTCCCAATAAATGTTAACTATATTAAAATATAGAAGCAAACAGCCACTCCTTCAGTCTTCTGTACACATAAACGGTCCCATTCCCCAGGGGTGTGTCAGGCAATCTGAGATGTGCATCCACTCCTGGTTGCCTCAAGGGGACCACAAAGATGCTCTTGGCAATATACTAAATGATACTCTAGTGGAGTGAGTTAATGCACCCCCAAAATGCCTAACAAACCCAAGGGGCAATTCTCTTAGTGGAAGATCATGGCAGGCAATTCAGGAACTACCACCTCAGCTACTTCTCATCACTGAATACCACTAGAAATCTCCACTAGTAAAGAAAGGTCACAGGTACACTTAATAATGACAAAAAGAACCACAACTCACTGAATGTCTCCTATGTGCTGGGTCAATTATGTGGTCTAAACCTTTACAAAATCCTACAAGATGGGCATCATTAACACTATTTTACACACAAAGAAATCAACATAAAGAGAAAAGCTAGATTTGTATGATCCCAAAGTTCAAACACTTTGCCCCTCAAATTCAGCCACCTGTAGCACAGCAGTATAAAGAGAAGAGCCAGGGATACTGGAAGTCTCAGGTTAAACTGGACGATCTTCCCAAAATGTTAATTTTACCCAACTGTAAGTGTGAATCTCAAAAACGTTTTATATACTAGAACAAATATGGATTCATTGTGGTAAAAGTTGCAAAATTCACAGTAATATTCAAAGTCTAAACATACAACTTTTAATAAATTTCTCACTTCCTGAAGCTTTTGGCTAGTTCCCCACCCCAGAACTCCCAACAAAGCATGCCTGTTTCCCGGCTTTGGACAGCAGCTCTTATTTCCATACATCATTCTAAAAATACTAAACCCCACTCCATTGGTTCCTCTTACTACCTGAGCACAAAGACATTATCACATAAAGTTATCACTGCTAAACCAAATGTGTTGACCTTTCTATAGTCAAGATAACTTAATACTGAACAGCTAAGAATCAAAATCTTTGTGGCAAAAAAAAAAAAAATCCTATAATTTAAAATTGCATAGAGCATCTAATTGTCTGAAATCAATAAGCACCCAACAATGAGTTCTGATTATAAAAATAGAGGTGATAATGGAGTGAATTATATAACTTGGAATTCTCATCCTGGTATGACATTACACAAAAATGCTTGCAACTTTCTGTTGCTATGCACTTAGCCATATTTTACTTTAGAAAGGATTTTGTTCTAGTAATAGATCTAAAAAATATACAGGTCATTAGAGTAAACACTCACTAGTGGAGAAGCAGAGAAACAGAATCATCGAATAAGGATATTTTAAAATACCGTTTTATTAAGTAGGGAAAAAATCTGCATAAAATTCAGTACAAATGTGTGAAGGCAAACTCTAAAATTAAAATCGACTATAACTATGCTATCCATAATACATGAAAAACATAAGGAAAATTAAATACTGGATTCAAGAAATTAGCAAACTCAGGTTTGAAGAAGATACTTATAATGAATTTTACTAATAAGACCTGAAATTTCACAAGAAAAATATGAGAGCCTTTCACTCAGCAAGAATGTAGTCATACATTTTTAATTAGGATTTCTAAACTAATGAAGTTTAACTGCGCAGCACAAGTGAATGAAATCTCCAGATGAGAGCAAAACTAATGAGCTATAAGCTCTTAAATCACCACAGGCAGTATCAGGCTGGCTTGTCAGACACAGGTGACCCACATTTTTATCAGTGTCCACATCTGCAAACATTTTAATCTAACACCTGAATACTCTCTCACTTAACACATTTGAATCTTTAAATCACACACACACACACACACACACACACACACACACACAAAGGTAGTGGCTAAAATTACTTGTCATTTCTCTAGCCTCCCAAAGATGAATGGAACTTTCAACTCCTGACCTCATGATGAAAAATCTGTTTGGTTAACAGACTTAACAATCTTACGTTGTTAGTCTTGTACTGCTGGATTCAAAACCTTTTAAAGTGTTCACTGAAATATTTAGCATGCTCCATGGCTGGGAGAACACTTTGCTGAACGTTTGGCATATTCCTTAATCAGCATCCCACAGACAGAGGTGGCTGAAGAACAGAAGGCACAATCCGGATATCCACAATCAATGAAAACCATGACGTAAGCTTTGATAACTTTACCACCACAATTATGTTAAAATCGTGTTGTTTTCCCTTTATAAAGGGACCGATCTTTTTCTTTAATACAGCTTACATAATTTCGTCGTCCAGTGCGTTTTCACATTTACTCTTGCGGGTTAAAGAAACCTATCTCACACTAACCTGTTAATCACCCTATTTTTTTTTAAACATTCAGCAAAAGAAATCAACCACACCTATTATCTGATTCTAAATTTAGACTTCTCTCTTCCAAAGAAGGGCTGTGCCGTCCTTTTATCAAGATCTCATCCGACAGCAAAAGGCACAGCAGCCTCGGGGACGCACAGGGTCCCTGCCCGCGGCTCTCGGTGCGGAAGGCGAGCACCGCGAGGGCTCCGGGAAGCAGGGTCCTGCGAGCGGCACTGGGGCCAGCCACCAGAGCTCGCCTTCCAGATGTCACCTGGCCCCAGCGTCGGGGTCCCGCTCGGCCCCGTCCGGACGGGGAGCCGAGGCCTGGGGTACTGGGGGGAGGTGCTCTCTCACCCCGGACCACCAGGTTCTCACTTCACGGCAAATTCGCCACCGCGGCGGCACGCCCGGTCCCCTCAGCGGGAGCAGTCCCTGCCCCGGAGCCTCGCGGGGCGGCTCCCAGTCCGGCGGGCAGCGGACCCCGGCCCCGCGGCGCCCCTCCCTCCCGCTCCCCACCCTCGGGAAGCCCACACACTTTGCTCTACTTTCCCCCAAAGTCGCGGAGCCCGGCAAGCGCCGAGAACGCACGGGGCGCCGGGCGGGCCGCCGGGAGAGCGCGCGGCACCGCGCGATGCAGGGCAATGCGAGGAAGGCGTCCCGGCCCGCGCCGCGCCCCCGAGGCCCAGGCAGCGCCCCCGGCCAGCCCCGCGCGCCAGAGGCGAGAGCACCTCCCGGCGCACCAGCTCCCGGCCGGGCCGCGGCGCCCGCGGCTCCGTTACCAGCAGGTGGATCTCCCGCAATCCAGGCGCCGCAGAGCCCGGCCGCCGGCGCCGCCCCTCAACCCGCTCCCTCCGCGCAGCCGCCCTGCGCTCCCGCCGCCAGGCCGCCGCGCGCCTCCGCAGCCCAGAGCCGCTCACCTGCCGCTGGCGCCGGCGCTCCCGCCGCGGCCGCAGGCAGAGCTGCTGTGGCCGCCGCCGCCGCCGCCGCGCCCCGCCCTCCCGCCGCGGCTCCGCCCCGCCCCGCCCAGCCCGCGACCCCGTCAGCCATTGGCCGCCCGCCGCCGCGCCAGTGGCCCGCCGGGCTGTCACTTAGGGGCGCCGTCGCTCGGCCTATATAACTCTCGTGAGATCTTTCCCCGGGCACTCGGCGTCACGGCACGGTCCGAGCGGCGCCTCGCTCCCCGCGCCCGGACTCCCGGTGCTCGGCGCACTCCCCGCCGCCACAGTTGGCTTTGGTTTCTCCGCGGCGTGTGCGGAGGCAGCTTCCGCCGCCAACAAAGGCCGAGGCCGCGCTCGGCCTCCGCCTCGGCGCGCGACCCGACAGCCCCGGGCTGCCCGCGAGTTCCACCCCCTTCCCCCAGCGCCCGTCGCATCCCTGGTCCGCATTCCCAGGGACAAGTCCCGGCCCTAATCCAGGGACAGCTTCCAGGCCCTGGGGTTCCGGGCATCTCACTGACAGCCCCAGCGGGGGACATCGTTGTCCCCAGCTTACCGATGAGGAAGACGGGACTGGAAAGATTGACTTAAACCCCTAGGACGAGGAAACGGGACTAGGATTTAAATGCATATCATTCCTATGCTCATGCCCCTAGTTTTCCCGTTAGGCCACGCAGTTTTGCCCCTTTCTCCTGAGCCCTAATCTATCACCGTTTCATGAAGTTTGAAGTTAATTTTAGAACCAAATAGGAAATCATCCATAAAAACCTGGGTGGGCTGACCCTCCTTTTTTGTAGTGTCTGTGAGCATCGTGACTTAATAGTAACTACCCGTGGGCACACCATCTTTTGGATACTTACTATATGCCAAGCACCATGTTACATCTTTAATTGCATCCTTTCATATTTTAGCTCCCATTTTTCCCATGAGGAAACTGGAGCACAGAGAAGTTTAAAAAGTTTACCCAAGGTCACAGGCCGGTAAGCGATAGATCTCGGTTCAAACACAAAGGATGTGTTGTCTTTGGTGCTACAATAAAGCTTACAACAACCCTGCAAGATAATTTGCAGGGAGTAGAGGGGCAAAAGATCAAGGAGACAGGCTTGTCCGTGCCAATCTCCCAAGGTAATAGATTCTTTTCAGAAAACAGTAATTCAAAAATTGAAAACTAAGAGAAAACATCAATCAGAATGAGTTTATATTTTCCAACATAATTCTTTTATTTTTGTCTCAACAGTAATTAATAATCAGCTTTGACATGTTCAGGATTCTTGATTCTCCCGTGTTTAGGTTTCTCTCCATGACTGTTAAACTGTTTTAAAAGTGCAAGGCAACACATGACACCCCTCTTCCCATGGTTCCCCACTGACTGAGGAGGAGCAGACAGGTTTTGTCCACTCTCCAGCACTGTGGACATGACTTGTGCATAACAGTCATAACACCCAATGACAACTTTGCTCTCTACTTAGGGAAGTAGAGCCTGGTTTCTTATTTTCTATGGCACACACATTGCCACTTAGCAAGTTGGTGTCAGATTTCATGTCGGGTGTAAACAATAAAGACAAATCATTCCAGGATACACCTGACACATTGTTGGATATATCATGCTTAAAACATCTAGGAGTAGACTATCCTAGGCCTTGCTATGCAGTGCTCCCCCTAAATCGGTGAGAGACCAGGGGAAGTGGGTGTCATGTGTCTCCTCGGACTTCTAAAATAGTTTAACTGTCATGGAGAGAAACCTGAGCATGAGAGCCAAGAAACTCACGCATGTCCTAACTGATTATTAATTACTGTTATCTTGAGACTACAGTAAAGGAATTTTGTTGGCGAATAAAAACTTCTGAATAATGTTGTCTATTATTTTTCAATCTTTGAAATGCTGTTTTCTGAACATCCTCTTCATGACAGACAAGCAAACTACTCCTTGCAGATGAAGAGAGCATTGCCTTTTTTTAAAACTCTTTTTTTTTTTTGGACACAATATCTTTATTTATTTTATGAGGTGATCGAACCTACTGCCTCATGTGTGTGAGGCAAGCTCTCTGCCACTGAGCCCCAGCCCCAGCCCCAAGCATTGCCTTTTGAGAGAAAGTTCCCAAGCTACTTCCCCAGGATTGACCAAAAGACCAAACAGCACAAGTAACTATCATAATCCTTATAGAGGAAGAAACCTGAGGCCCTGAGAAATTAAGTAATTTGGAAGATGCAAATAGTAATTTAGGCAAGTAGTAAATGGCCAAGTCAGAATTCAAATCCAGGTCTGTTTGATTCCAGAGCCTGTATAATACTCCATTGCCTTTCTTCCTTCTTTGGCAACGGGCAAAATCTTGTTGTGTGGATGAATAGTAAAAAGATGTATTTCTCTCCCTCTTCTCCATCTTTTTTCTCTCTTTGTGAAGATTTGAAACCATATGTCAGAGACATATGTCAAGAGGAGAAAGGAAAGGAAAGAGGACAGATACGCTTCAGTTACAGCCTGGCTGACTTATTCAGAAAGAGAGCAGAAATTCCTCCTAAGCTCTGGTTAGTGGCAAAGCTCCCAGCCAGGACAAAAAGCAAACAAAAACAAAACAACTGCCTTGCTTTGGGGATCTATTTGATACTTTGTCATTACTTCAACAGGCAGCAGAAGGACCATATGGTTAAACTTGTGTCAGACTATTCACTCTGTTGCTCAGGGAAGAGTAGAATTCAACTAGTGTCCTAACCAATCAGAATACTCAGGAATACACGCTTCCCAGGTGTGGGTGTGAATTGGTGATTCATCTTACTTTTGCAGAGTACACAATATTGAATTTTTCCAACTACATCTGTTTAATTAACACTCAAAGACTGTCGATCCAAACCCCATGGAGTCCTATAGATTTCTTTCTCCTTGTTTTATCTTTTCCATGATGATTTCCCTTCTATCACCTTTTTTTGTTTGTTTGTTTCTTCTCCACCTCTGCAGTTTCTGGGTTTGCTTTCTCCTGACATTTATTTCACACTGTCAGTGGAATTATTGCCAAGAAGTTCTGCCTATAATCTCACCATTCTATAGTCTGTCCCCAACAAAGCTGCCACGTGATAGCTCTCCTTTCCAACATTTTCATTATTCCATCGACGTTTTCTGAGGCCTGTGATTACAGAGGCATCTGGTGCCTCACCATGGAGTGTTCACAGACTAGTGGAAGACATTGGTAAGTAATTAAACCACAGTACACCATGTTGGGACAGCAGATAGGATGGGGTCATTAATCAGATCCTCTGGGCAGGGAAGCCTTCCTGGAAGTGACATTTGAGCTAAAAGCAGATACCACACAGGAAATGAATCTTTGCCATTTATCTCTTCGATGGTAAGTGGTTGCTGGTGGGGCCATGTCTATATCAATCAGCTTCTAAGAGATCACGCTCAGGATCTCTAGTTCTTTCCTACTCTGCCCCTCATCCATGCATTAACAATCAGACTTGCATCATTTATGAGCATTTATAAATGTGATTCTGGAGTCTTCCACTACAGGCTCTAGTGGGACCTTTTTGAAGTATACAATCTACAAGAGGCATCACTTCAGGAGGTTCTCCCTGGCTTTTTAAATGATGCATGTAGAGGTGGTAGAAGACAACTTATTTTAATTGGTAGACAGTGCCTTCAATGACTTTCATCCAGAAACTATAGTGGACCTGGGACCCGGATGGGCCATAAGAGTCTGTGGACCCTTTGTTAGCTGCAAAATGTTTCAGATGTAGTAACAATTTCTCTCCTGTCATCAGACAGGGCACATGCGGTCCCAGAAATCAATGAAAGGGAATGCAAATGGAACCAACCACCACATTTACAATTCAACTCTACACGGAAATTAAGGTCCATACAGATGAAG